TGTGCCCTAGCTTTTTTCACACGCCTGCTTATGGAAATCTTGTTGATATCGATTCCCTTTTCTCCGCCCGAGAGATGCATCGGCCAGGCTCAATGGCGCGCGGACGTCGAGGACAACGAAGATCTCGGCCTCCATCCCAGGCCCTCCGAGGCGGAGTGGGCGCAGCGGAAGAGCTCAATCGAGAGTCCGGCAATGGTGGCACGATTGGCGGCTGCGGTCTTGCCCGGTTCCCCGATGGCGCAGCGCCCGCGACTGGCCAATCGCAAGCAGTGGCGTAACGTCATTGCGAAGCCCGCAGACTGGCATGAGTGGATGCCCTGGCGCCGCCGGAAGCCAGCTGCGCCAACTGCTGAAGTTTTCACGGGGAGGGTGCCCCGGGACAAACCTGAAGTGGCATGTCGAGGCATCGCGGAGGCCCCCACGGACGGTCACAAATGCGCGACCCAAGTGGGAGACAAGGGGCTGCTCTCTTTTTCTGATTTTTTCTGCGCGGCGCGCGGTTGTTCCACGCAGGAGAATATCCGGATTTTGGCGGCCCTTTTGCCAGCCAGCAGCGCGTAGAGATGGCGCGAACGCGCTGTCGCGCGCCAAGCGAGGATGGCACCCCGCGCGCGACGTGCACGTCACCTGCGCGGCACAGGAGGCGCCTGTGTCCCGGCCAGAGTATCGCGCGCGCGCCGCCGCTTCGAGGAGGTAACAGTCGGTTGCCCACGCCGCCCGACTGGAATGCGCCGGCGCCATCAGGTCTCGGATCGCCGAGACAGACGAAAGGCGGCGATGCTAGATGGCGCGGCTTGTTAAACTTGTTCGGCCGATGGTGGCGCACCTAAGCAAGCGTTCCCCTCTTCCAGTTCGGTGTTGCCCCGTTCCTCGCCCTCCTCGTCGGCCATCGGCGCGTCGATGGCGCCGTCGCTGCGCGCGCGGCGTGCCACTGACACCCATGGCGGGCGTGAGCTCCTCCACGGGCGACCGACCGCCCGCCGTGGAGCCTGGCCCCGGAAGTCCTGCTGCGCTTCCCCCTTTGACCGCGGGCCCTTGCACCCTTGCACTCAGCGAGCGAAGAACGGTATAACATAAACTTTTCCGCTGTTGGGGCGCCTGTCCCTGGGCGGCTGGAAAGTTTATACCCCTACGGTGCCACCGTAGGGGTATAAACTTTCCAGCCGCCCAGTGACAGGTGCCCCCGAGAGCGAAAAAGTTTACTTTATACCGTTCTTCGCCCGTTAATGCACTTGCCCGGGGAGGCGGCGACCTCCGCGAGGGGGCGCGTGCCCGCCCTGGCTGCCGCGCCCGCGGAGCGCCCCGGCCGCCTCGACCGCCTGCGAGGGGAGCTCGAGCGGCCTCGCCGCGCGGACCGCCTCGCCCGCGGCGGCCGGGTGCCAGCCAAGGGCGGCGCCCAGCTCTCAGTGGGCGGCGAGCGCCGCGCGCGTCGCTGTGGTGCGCGCCGCCAGTGCTGCAGAGCGCCTGAGGCCTCGATCCCCGCGGGCCTGCCGCCGAATCCGCCGCGCCAGCGCGCGGGCGCCGGCTGCCGCCCACCGCCGTGCCTCCATCGCGGCCTCTGGCGCGCGCCCACGGGCCCGCCGCGGGCGCGCGTCCGCGCGAGGGCCTCCCGCATGCCGGTTCGCTTGAGCCGAAATGGTTGCGGACGACGACGACGACGACGACGACGACGACGACGACGACGCCAGCGTCTCACACATGCCGAAGGGTCAGCGGATTTATTTACAGGAGCGACGCGGCCAGCCCGGGGCAAGGACGGGATGCACTCGTGGCCGCGCATCTTCTCCTGCGCCTGGCCCCTGCATGGCAGGGCGCGCGCACCCGCCCCCCGCGGGATTGTATACAAGCATCCGGCGCGCGGCGCACACGCGGTCCATCCACGAGCCCAGCCATGCATGATTACCTTCGCCTGGCGCGCTGGCACGCATGCGTACACATCTACCGATCTATAGTAGTATGTATATATGTGTAATTTTGTAAATATACATACATACATATGTAGATGTGTTCATATGTGTAGAAACATATATATATATATATATGTATATATATACATATGCGCATACATACATTAGCGCACCTACATGCATACATGTCTATACATGTAAACACATACATATAAATTGTGTCTCTAACTATACATACATCTAGTTGTAACAGAAGCAGATGCCTGCACGTATGCGCATTACCGTGCGCCCCATCGCCTTCGGAGAGGCGCGGGGCCTTCTCGGAAGGCCGCGTCGACCTTTCCTCTCCAGCCAAGCAGGATCATATCAGGATGAGTGGTTTTCCAAGGGCACATTTTCGTCCTTGGCCGCTTTCACTTTGGCCACATTCGTTCAAGAGGCCTTGTTTCAGGCGTCCGATGCCCTTGCAGCCCTATCGCGCATCCCTATGGTCCAATCGCGGTGCAGCCACCCGCTGGCAGGAGGCTGCGGAAGGGGGTACGGGCGGGGCTAGGACCGGGACGCTCTCAGAGATTTGCGGCTTTTCGGGGCGATCTGGAGTGGCCGCGGTCACGAGCAGCGAATATATCCGTATCATCCGGCGCGCGATCCCGCGGAGGCGCGGTCGCACGGATACGTTCCGCGCGGGGCATCCGCGGGAAAACGCTCCGTATCCGCGGGGTCGCAGCCCAAGGGCCCAGCCCGCAAGGCCGCTGATAACGGATATGTTTTTCGCTCACGACGCGGCGCGCGATGCACGTCAACCAGAACCGGCAGATTTCAGAGGTCCCCGATTTGTCCAGGTCCGATGTTGTCCCAATACCCGTCGGTCGTTGAAAATAGGTAATTTGGGACTCCCAGATTCCAATCTAGTTGAAGCGCCTTCCTACTTCAATGATCGAATGTCCTCACCTTTCCCGTCCTCCTTAGGGGGCGGACGGAACCCAATCATGTTTCTACCTACTTCTTCCGACCGATGGGTAGCGTCGGGCATTTCGTATTTTTTTGGCGGGGGCGATAGTGGAGAGGGGGACCCAGGGCAGCGGGAAAAGGAGCCCTACAGATGGGCCGCGGGGGGGGCCCGACGGCGCACGAGAGGCGCACGAACTGCAGGGGCACCAACTGGCGCCTGAAGCGTCAGCGCCTGGAAAGCGAGGAACGCAGTGCAACAACACAAGCCGAAGAGAGGAATGGAAAGAGCAAGATAGCACGACGAGTGTGAGACTCATGATGAAGAGCACGGGAAGGGCGAGGCTGCTGGAGGGGGCCCGCTCGGGGTGGGCACCCTTCTTTTGCTCACCCCCCGCTGGCTGCCCCCAGGAGGCAACGCCCCGTCCGAGCCCCTCATCCCAACCGGGCGGTGGGCACGGCGAGTGAGGGCTCGGCGGGGGATTGGGGGGGGGAAGAGCGGGAGGGAGAGGGGGAGGAGGAGGAGGAGGAGGAGGAGGAGGAGGAGGAGGAGGAAAAGGAGGAGGAGGAGGAGGAGGAGGGGAGGAAGAGGAGGAGGAGGAGGAAGAGGAGGAGGAGGAGGAGCAGGACCAGTGCAGTCTCAAGACTCGTCAACGATTTTGCAATCAACTCTCCCCCAAGTTTCCTGTTTAGAAGTATTCGTTTTCACAGGGAAGCGTTCCGACGGAAGGTAACCGTTTGAAAATTTTGAACCGTGCCAAAACATCTCCCCTGGGACTCCAGCGCTGCGAATCCACGGTACCGTTGCGTCCTGACGATCCTGAATTTTGCCAGAACGCCACCGCGAATCAGCGTGACTGGTGTGCCTTGACAGTCCTACATCGTGCCAAGATCGTTGTTGGGACGTCAATAGGAGGAATTCTTGAAACAGGTGTAGAATCGTAAATCGAATGTGAGTGGCGCTAGGGGGGAAGCCACATGTTCACAACAGAAGCCGCCTTCATCCGTGACAATCTCGTGCATGTTTCAGCCGGATGTGCGCGGCTCTAAAGCGAAAGCCACATTTTGAAAACCGCTCGCACTCCATCCGTGAAGCTGCTGCACATTCTAAGCTCAAGAATCGCACCAGTGAGAAAGTTTCCGGCGAGACGCCCGGCCCGCGCCACCGACGCGTCGCGGGGTACGACAGGGAGGAGCCCTTTTATCGGGAAAGGGGATGGAGGAGGAGCGTCCCGCTCGCGGAGGGGCCCCGAGGAGTTTCAGGGGCAACGAAAAGGGGGGGGGGACAGGCTCAGGGGGGGGGGATCGGCAAACAGAGTGGCATTTCTTGGCGATGTGTTGCATTGTCCGGCCACTTGTTGCACGCGGACATATCTTCTTCATCTGCCCACTGCAAGGATGTCGTCTGCATGCTCTTCATCTCTGCTGCCATCGCCGCTACGATCATCCCCATAACTCCACGGCTACTCAGTCGCCCACTGATCGCCGACAGGATGGCGATAGCCCTGCCCCGCCCTGGGAAAGTGCGGATTCGATCGGGGGCCCAGCGCTGGTCCATCGGCACCATCGCCAATCCCAGCTCGATGTCCCCCTCTGAGCTGAACCCCCCTAAGTGGGCCCTGGGAACGACAGGGCCGTTTTTTTACCGGTTCCGTTTTGCCGTTTTTGTTGCCGGTTCCAACGCCGTTTTTTTACCGGTTCCGTCGCCGTTTTTTGACCGTTCCGGCTCTGGTTCCAATCCTGGAGCCGTTTTTGTTGCCGTTTGCGGTTGCTGTTTTTTTGCCGTTTCCATTTTCAAGGGACGTTTTTTGGGAAACGGTGAAAAAACGGCCCTGCCGTTTCCGGGGCCCACAAATAACGAGCCCCCGCAGGACGAGGTGTGGCGTGGAGCCAGATCTTCAATGTCACTGCATCTTCAGATCGCTTGCGCGCTGCTGCCACCTGCGGCCCAAGACGGCCGAGGAGCTCCGTCGGCCGAGCTGGCCTCAGCGCCAATTTCTTCTGCGCCGTGGGGTTGCCGCGTCAAAACAAGCGAGGGACGGGCGGGGAACTCTGTCTGGTTGCATCGAGGGCACCCCGTCCGCCAGGCCGGGGTGCGCGATGATGGGATTCCGCGCCCGTCCGCTCGTGGGCCAAGGTAAAGAGTGGCCATGTCCCCACCTCTTCTTGCTTTGTCCTCTCCCATCGGTGTTGTATGCCATGTTGTTTTCTGCAATGTCGCCTCAGGGCGCAGTGGACGCTGTACAGAACGCACAGAGGTGTTTAAGCACTTCAGTCGGAATCTCCGTGACAGCGGCAGGGAGACACGCCTTTCGCTGCACTGGTCTGCACCTTGCGTGCGAAAGTCTTGCGCTCGATTTCACGCATTTCTCACTTAGCTCCATCGGTACAGCCTTGAAGGACATCAAGTTCTTCCCGCGATAGCGCACAAGTATATAGTGATTCGTTCTCTCTCTGTCATATTACCGAAGCTCTGCTCCTTACCTGCCACCCACTCGCACTATGTCCTCCAGCAGCGTCTCTCCTCCCCGCACTCTTCCTATCACACCCTCCCCTTTGACTGGTACCCCGCTAACCCGCAACATCTCACGTGCCAGATCACTCAGCGGACATTGATCATGGTACCTTCTTCGTTCAACATCGCCAGTCAGAGCTCTGGCATTTCTTTTACCGGTCTAATTTCTCCACTGTCACGCCACATGCGACCACCAGGCTCATCCCAAGTTCTTGCCAGCGGTGGGGGTAGGTCCGATTCGCCAGCCAGTAGCACACTGGAGATCCGGGGTGTCTGCGTGCCACCTGCATGCAGCCAAGACGCTGAAAGAAGGAACCCTTCTTCGAACCTCGCATCGGAAAGGGCACTCGTGGTCCCCGTGCTCTCCCCTGGGGCCCCAGCAAGCAGCGCGGCCCGGCCTCCTCGCGGCCGGCCATCCCGAGAGCACCACGCTGGCCGTGCACGCCGCACCTTGTCGTCCTGCTCGCCCGCCTCGACCCGGAGACGTCGCCCCCCCCCCCCGGCGCCCGTCCCCCCTCCCTGGGGCGCACGACCGCCGCCCGGCCGGTCTGCCTGAGGGGGCAGGCCGGGGGCCCATCGGACAGGGCTGGGACGAGGATAAGTCCGTTCTCCTCCTCCTGCTCCTGCTCCTGCTCCTGCTCCTCTTCTCCTCCTCCTCGACTCCTCCTCCTCCTCGTCCTCCTCCTCCTCCTCCTTTTCCTCCTCCCTCTGCTCCTGCTCCTGCTCCTCTTCTTCTCCTCCTCCTCCTCCTCCTCCTCCTCCTCCTCCTCCTCCTCCTCCCCCACCATCTCAGAGCGCTCTCAGCGCGCTCTCCGCAACGCTCTGGGAAGGCCGCGGCGCCCGAGACATCCTCTGGAGCCGCCGCATCTCAGAGGTTCTCAGCTTTTCCTCAGCCGATGCTATCCTCGTCCGGCCTTCGTCTTGGCCCAGCGCGCCGCCGCGGGGCCGCGCGCGCCCGCGGCCTCACCGGGAGGGTGCGGAAAAGAGCTGCCCCTCTCCGGGCGGCCCCCGGGGCGCGAGGGGCTGGCCGCGACCTGCTCGGCTCGGCCCCGCGCGCGCTCGAGGTGCTGCGACCACGGGCCCTGCCCCCGCCTGCGGGTCCAAGCGTTGCTCGGCTTAGCTGCCCTGGTGCGCCCGTTCCCATCCTCCTCCTCCTCCTCCTCCTACTCCTCCTCCTCCTCCTCCTCCTCCCTCCTCCTCTCCTCCTCTCCGCCCTCTCCTCCCTCCTCCTCCTCCTCCTCCTTCTCGTCCTCCTCCTCCTCCTCCTCCTCCTCCTCCTCCTCCTCCTCCTCCTCCTCCTCCTCCCTCCTCTCCTCCTCATTGTCCTCCTCCTCCAGACCCCCTTTCGGGTGATGGCGAGATCGCGACGGGAGGCTTTCCGCCCATGTGCGGCCCCTTGGGGGGCCCTCGCCGGGCCACGGGGGCGTCAATTTCACAGCTCGGGAAGAGAAGCTGGTCCTGGGGAGCGGGTCGAGACTTCTGGGGGCCGACGTTAGGAACAGATCATGGCGCCGAGGGCCTGGGTTCTGAAATTCAGAAACGCCCGTGTTGGCACGCTGTCTTCCCTGTCTCCCTAATGAAAGCTGTGCGTCGCCCGCCTAGCTTTCAGCGGGAGAGGTTCGCTCTCGCCCCGCCGACCAAAAACTGTTAGCACGCTGCGTGTTGGCTCGACGTGTTGGCCCGCATGCTGTCGAGCGTTACCGCGCTAAGCGAATGTACTCCATCTACGTGTTGGCCCCCGTGTCAATGCGCTACGTGTTGCGTGTTGCGTACCGGGGCAGCTACAGTCAACGCGCCTAGTAAGGACGCGCGCCTTCATCTAGGGTACCCTTGTGTCCTTGCCTCTGAGGCTCGTCTTTGACATTATCACTGGTCGCCCGCCGCCCTAAAAAACCAAACTTCGGCCTCCAAGGGTCTTGCGTCCTTATCACCCGTCCTTAATAGATGTTTTGACTGTAAGCCACGAGCCCTACCCATGCGGGTCCACTCGCTTTTGGGGTATCGGACACCCCCGCTGGGGCTCACGCGGCTGCAGGCATCTTTCGAATTCTGAGCCCCAGCCGGCGTTTCCAGAAGTCTAGCTTGCAGCGGTCGGGTCCGCGCGTGGCTGCTTACCTGAGCGCGAGATCTGACCACTCTTCGGGGGAGAACGCAAGTTGGAGGGTGAAAGAAGGGGTCTGCAACAGGGGGTCTTCAATGGGAGCTAAAACCCCATGTAAGCTCAATGTATCGTTCATGTAGATGATCGAGCAACTACGATTGGCATCCAATGTTGGCGGTCATGGAGAGCCAGTCGTTCGTGTCCGCGCGTTGCCCGCGCGGGCAAACGCGCCGTCCATCCATTATCGTTTATGCGTGCGGGCGTTCTTACATACCGCGCATGGGGTGGCGCAGTGGAGTGTAAGTGTGTTTGATTGTGCAATTGATGATCGCGTATGTTACCACACGATGACTTGTCGACCCCCACGACATATTTGGAATGGGTCCCGCCATTCGTCCAACATGTGAGTTCACATCTTCCCTTTGTTCCAACATGTGAATTCACCCAAAACGTGAATTCACATTCTGGCCCCTTCGTAAAGACTTCTATACAGCATTCCTCAATGTGACAATGTGAATTCACATGTCCCTTCTTTCCACAATGTGAATTCACATGTTCCTTTTTTCCCTAAATGTGAATTCGCCTGACGATTTCCCCCCCACAGTAAATTCACATGCTGCCCTGGCCCTCAAGATCCCCACAACCGAGGCGCAGTTTGTCGCATGGCAGGTTGGCTGGGCAGATTTTGACACTCACCTCACCGCTTTCGTTTATTCCGACCTTTTTTTTTCTTGCGCTTCAGCGCACGTTGCCTTCGTCGCCTTTCCCCAGCCCCCCGCCCCCTTGCTTCGTTTACCTTCAAGCCTCGCGCATGGGTGCAGGCGGGGAGCTTCGAATGGTTCCCCCGCCGAACACAGCAATGGAGGATGTATCGCCCATGCGTGGCCCATAGAGATGCTAGTGCCTGGACCCTGCGCCCGACCCCCACATTGACCCTCCAAGCAAGACCCAAGGTTGCCAGACCTCGGGCTTGTCGCGCCGCTTGTCGGCGGTCCCCGGCATGAGCTTTGACGGTCCAGTTTCCGTGAGGTGCCTGCAGCGGGAGCTCGCCTCAGACTTCAGACTCGACCCCGTCATGTTCACGACGTCCTCATGAGGCACACTCGAGTCCCCAAACTTGTAGTCCTGCATCTTCCGAAACCGTGAGCATGCACCTCCGAGATTCCATGCTGTGGGGATCTGTCGCCTGCCACCGGCGCGTGGAGCTTCTGGCCATGCGGCGCCAGCCACCCCTCTTCCAAGCCCACCCTCTTCGGCGCACCCGAGGAGCTGGTCCCAATGGGGAAAGGGGGTCCCGGAACTCTGTCGCCGCTTCCGGGCGTCTGGGGCCCTCCACGGGCCCCGGAACCGTCCGGAAACGACTCTGGATGAAGTCGGGCGGGTGGTAATGGGGGGTGACTAGAAATTTGTCGCCGTTTCTGGGCGTCTGGGGCCCTCCACGGGCCCCGGAACCGTCAGGAAACGACTCTGGATGAAGTCGGGCGGGTGGTACAGTCGGGAAGAAGAAGGAACCCTTTTCGTTGGGGAGGGGCTCGGTGTTCCTTAGTTTTTTTGCAGCTCGCCTTTGGTTTTGCTTAGGGCTTCGATCGAACATCGAAGTTTCACTTGTGGGAAAAAGGGGCCTCGTTCCTTATTTAGGGTTCCTTAGGTCAACGCCTCGACTGTAATGGGGGGTGACCTTCATGGGGGGGGGTGAAGAAAAGGGCCCTCCATGGGCGCTTTCAGTGTGTTTTTTTGGAGCCCCAGCAGGGGCCCGAACGGGGCCTTGAAGTGGCCCCTGTAAGGCCCTTTGTCTTCACCCCGCATTTATCAGGAGGGGAAAAACACACACAGACACAATGAATCGTCGAGCCCCCCGAAAATATGGGAAAATATGGGAAGTGGGGGGAAGACGAAAACCCGGAAAATATGAGAAAATATGGGGGATCTTTTTATTTGTGTATATTTATTTGCGTGTCCCAGGACCCCTTCAAAAAGGGCCTCCCATGGGCACTTTCAGCATGTTTTTTAGAGCCCCACCAGGGGCCCCGAACGGGGCCTTGAAGTGCCCCCTGTAGGGCCCTTTGTCTTCACCCCGCAGTTAGGCCACCCCCCACTACCACTCGCCCGATGAAGAGCTTGTCCTGGGGACAGCTGCGGCCCTAGTGGGCCCTGGAAACGACAGGGCCGATTTTTTACCGGTTCCGTTTTGCCGATTTTGTTGCCGGTTCCAACGCCGTTTTTTTACCGGTTCCGTCGCCGTTTTTTGACCGGCTTGCTCTGGTTCCAATCCTGGAGCCGTTGTTTTGCCGTTTCCCGTCGCCGTTTTTTGGCCGTCTCCACTTTTAAGGGGCACTTTTTTTTGGAAACGGTGATAAAAACGGCCCTGCCGTTTCCGGGGCCCACAAAGGCTGCGGCGTCTGCAGTCAAGACGCCGAAAGAAGGACCGCTTTGGTTTCGGAGGGGCCCGCTGTTCCTCTTAGGTCATTCCGTGGCCGTTCCTCTGGCCCTCCTCGTGCCACCCAGGGCGCTTCTGGTGCTGAGGCAGGGCCTCGTTCCTGACTTTTTGCGCTCCTCCGTGGCAGCAGCTCGACTGCACTCTCTAGGGCCCGGTTCCCCGGGGACGACCTGCACGTAGAAGAGGAAACCTTCGCCGGAGTGCCTCTTGGGGCGCGGTTGTCTGGGGCAAATCCAGGCACGCATGCCGTTGATGTCGTCTCGCGTGCAGCGATTGGCGCGCCGCGCACAGCAGCTCACATTTTGCTGGGGCCACTCCTGCGCGCAGCCTGCTCGGGCCTTCTCGATCTGGTCGATCCGACGGGGTGTCGAATGCGACGAGCTCGATCCGATTCGATTCCGATGTGCCGGCGATC